TGAGACAAGTCTCTGTTCGAATTCCGGATTATTCATGTGGCAAGTCAGGCCTGAAGCAGACATGGTTGCACAAATATTTTGTACTTCGACGGCAAAATCGACCGTAGATTCCAGCTGGCTTTCTGATGGCGATGGTAGATCACAAATTTGACGCTGCAAGACACCGATGATTAATTCTGGCCGCCCAAATCGCATTTGGGGAGTGGCATTAATTTTTCGAACGCATGACGAGTGTAATAGAAGGTTTCTAACGCATTGTCTTGCTAGTCCTTGCAATGCTTGTCGTAGCCTTAGCAGATTCTATTCATCTGAGAATCCACACACCTCTGTCGATTGCGTATAAGCAGCATAAAACAAAGGCCACTCACTCGGCTTACCGTCATATTTGGGTAGTTCTTTTGATAGGCTGCTGCGGGAAGCTACCTGATCCCTGGTTAGTCGGCAATAAGCAGGCGCATCAAAGCGCAAGCTGTCAACGTGACCATTTGTAGGCAATGTTGTATTCGCTGGCAGCTGTGGAGAGTGTTCCGTATTGCCAACTGAGTTGCGTTGTAACTGCTGTTCAAGTGACTGTATTCGGTCCAATAGCGACTGAATGATAGGTGTGGACAGATCACTTTCTGGTTGCTGGACAGTTGACGTTCTAAGTGGAGTATTGTCCGCCGGAGAAGACCCGTTATTATTAACGGCGCCACCAAATTTGGAGGTAACTGTAAGGTCTGTGTTGTATTAAGTGCCAATTCCCTCATGGCGGTTGAAGCCCCAGGCATAGCATACTGACTTTCATCCAACTTATCGTCGAATCCCATTCTGAGTAACGCCTCTCTCTGTCTCAGGATTTCGCTTTGCTCATGTAGCGACGAAGATCTTGTGAACCGACAGAGTTTACGGAGTGAGCCGGGCTTTTTCGCTGATTCCTCTGAAGCGGCACTGTATTGCCCGTTAACGACTCAGGGATGTGTTGCTGCGAAGCTGCATTAATAGAACCAGGAACAATGGATGCAGCCGTTGAATTAGTAAACACAGCGAAATTAACTGGCACAGCGGCTGCCTCGTCCATGTTGGCAGTAGTAACCGACATTGTAATTTTCAATGTTTATGTAGTTAGAAATTCGCTGCTTTTTATTTCCAACTTGGAAAGCCTCTTCTAGCCAGTAATCCAGTGGTTTTATGTTGTTGTATTGTTGATTTGAATACACATCTACAAGAGTTGTTGAAGTATGAGTAATTATGGACGATGTGGATGTGCTTACTATAATTTGAATGATGATGGATCCTGTAATTTACATAAATCTAAAATAAAACTAATATATAAATAATATAAAAATTTTATTTAAGTTTAAGTTTCTGCATAGTTCTTGGCTATCCAGGTTGAAGTTTCTATACTCTCGTCGTGGACCACTTGTATAACTACCAAATTCTTCAATGAAAACTTGCTTAACTCTTTCCGTACCTGTTAAGGTTCTCGAGAAATGAATGTAGAAGGGAGTCCATCAACTTATGTCAAAAGTGCTGCGCTTTGTGCTGCTTCTGAATCGAATAGAGAGATCAAAGTCGTAATAGTTGTATTCACATGAAGCAGAAATTCCTTTGTCCAAATTAGCATTACTATCGATAGTAGAGATATGTGAGGCTCTTCTTCCAATTCTTTCTGAATCGATTTTCCTCTTTCTTTTCTGCTTCTTCTCCTTTGTCGCTCCCTGCCGGAGTATTCGCAGTCACTTCAAGGTCTGAATGTTTTAAAATACTCTGCGCATTTTAATAGTCCTCCTCGCCTTCTGACATTGCGGGAGTAATGACATCGATTATCAATGGATCCCTGATCGTCACTTTCCGATTCATAACTATTTTCTGAAGAACATGTTTATGAACAAACACTAGAATTACTATCACTATCACTTTTGTATTTTAAATTTGCTTTTGCACTTAGCTTTCTTGACTGGCTTGACTGATCACTTTCACTTTTATAAAAAAAAAAATTCTTTTACGCGGTAAACCCCCTAACATACGACGTTGCCCACTGCTGTCGGTGTAGTCGTCACTCTTAGATCCAGATTCACCAACTAGTCATAAAATTGTTACTTGCTGGGAGCAAACAGATCAATCAGATACCAGGATTAAAAAAAGAGAAAAGGGAGACAAAGTAATCGACTCTATAAAACAACACCCAACATTTCCAATTGATCATATTAAACACGTTTATTTTTTTGGGATAACAATAAAAAACTGCATAAATTTTAATTATTATTTAAATAATTTGTCATTCATTGTATTTATATTCAAATATATTGAACAGCAAAGATTTAAAATTTAATGCTCCATTAAATAATTTATATGTTGACAACCAACCTAATTATTAAGATTTAAAAAACTTAATGATCTGATAAGTTGTTTGCGGGTTGAAAGCGGTTCAAACATTTCAGATCATTCCTGAAATTTATCCGAAATTATTATTTCAAAGCTTGCTAAGGCAACCCAATGCTCAGGCCAAGCTCATCTTCATCATGATGGACAAAGTGCAAAATATAATACCATTAGTGGTAACATAGCCAACAGGAGTCGTGACCACAGGTTTGATTTCCCCGTAAAACAAACAGATTGGAAATTTGCGTCTGTTAAAAAACGCATGGCTACCACAATCAGTTTTGCTTGCCATTATGAATCAAAACTCCCTGTAGGGCAGATGGCTCGCCTGAAAAGGGTGCTTTCTCATTGTTGTGATTATAGATCTGTATCCTCATACAGCTTTACGCTGCTCTCAGATAATTAGAAGTCTTCAACGACATTATTCCCGTAGGAAATGATGGTATAATTGTAGTTAGTATTCCAGTCCAACTGTTTCACACAATGCCATACGTAGTATGTTCTATTTAGCTGGTCATTACTTTAACAAGTTTAAACTCGGTGCTAAGGTCAAAACATCCTCATTTTATTATGTGGCACATATGATACCAAATATTATAGAGAATTTTCGAGAAATTAAAATATATGTCATTACAATATTTTGTCTAGACAAATTTGAACTTGGACAACTGGTACCATTGTTGTTAAAATTACTTAAATTTGTCAGAAGGTTAAGTAAGTTACCTATTCAAATTTTTTAAGAGGCCTTTGTGGGTGGTGTTTTCAAGTCAACGGTGGGCTTAAAATCAAAGATGATTTCAAGTGTTTCTATACTCGGTTCTCTTAGTAAACCGTTTTAACCCTCCTACAGATATTTTAGTGCTAGCAACAAATCCTTTCAAGTCGTGTTACCGTCGGTCCTTTTTTTTTAACCGCATACACTATAACTATAGCACCACCCAAAGTGCGTACTGCCGTTCGGAAGGCTCGGGTTCAAATCCCCACTACCGCGGCCGCACTTAATAGTTGTTGGTTAAGTCCGGATCCGTTGGTTCGACTCCAGCCATAAGAAGTCTGATGAGGAGATGTGGTGATCTCCGAAACAGCTGTCACTTCTACCATACTTCTTTGTTGTATAACAAATATTCAATTCATACAAACAACGAGGCCACGTTGTTTACTTAATTCTTATATAAAAAAAAATAAAAATTTAATTAAAATAGCAGGGAATGTTCACCCCTTCGAGAGTATTTCGGACATGAAATAAAAAAATCTCCTCTTAAAAAACCGTTCGGAGGCGGCTTAGTATAATATGTAGGTCCTTCCATTTGTTGGAAAAACATCAAGATGCAAAACCACAAATTGGAGGAGTAGCTCGGCCGAAAATCGCTTGAGCGGTTGCATAGCGCCAACTTTATTACATTAAATGCAAACTGACGCTGAGTAGCACTGTCGGGCTTCGAAAAATACTTTTCAGGTCATTCGGTACCAAACGAGGCTTCAGCTAAGTTGACTATTTCTTCAACCAAACAAAGGATAAAACAACAAGAGCTGCAAAACCAAATTGACGAGGTTCAATTTCCTATAAAAATGTACAACGGCTGGAGTATACCGAACATATTGGTATGAATATCCCCAACTCCCGCGTCATAAATTCAACTTTCTTGAGACTGGATAAGAAAGCGAGCTGATTGGGTAAGGAAGTAGGGCAAAACTAAATATCTCCTGTCGTCTAATAAATAGTCAGTGAATTCGCTTTGTAACTTTGGAGTTGAAGTCATTGTATTCTACACTAATAATAATGTCAATCTAAAATTTTGATGCTGAATCACTCTTGCTAAAATATGACACTTTGGAATTATAAGGTAACTGAAAAGAAAATTACTATCTTGACGATTCAAAACTGAACTCTACAAGTCGCTTATTATTCCCGTCCTGCTGTATGATGGAGAAGAGTTACGTTGGCAACATGCGATGAGTTGGTATAGGAGTTTTCGGAGGAAGGCTTATAGGAAAGATTATTGTTCTCTGCGGATAGGCCTCGGCGAATATCGCAGAATATGGAACGATGAGCTTTATGAAATGTACGACGACACTGACTTAGTTCAGCGTCCAAGCCAAGCCGTTCGGATGTATGAAAAGACTTAAACTCTGAAAGAATTCGAATTCCGTTGATGGAAGTAAAGTACGGATAATTTCACTTGGTATCTAGTTAATTTGGTTATAATCGCGAAATTCTGGATAGATCAAAGAAGAGGAATGATGTCGTCTGTTTGGAAAAACCAAACCGGTTATTGATTTCCCACTAATTTGTGTTCTTTGAGAACTCGCTCAAAATAATTCAGATGCTCCTTCATTTTTCCCTTTCTTGTCTGTTCATTAACTCATTAGTTGTTACAGAAAAAATTTTTCGCATCGATATTTATAAGTGGGATTTAAAACATTATTTTATAAGGAAATGTATATAACGGCCGCCTAATTTGAAACCCAGGCAACAGCAGCTGCGGTTATTGTGTACAAAAGTTACATATGTATACAAGTAAAAACTTCTCTATTATAAACATTTACATATATTTTATAGACATTTTTCTATTTGGAAACTACTTGCGTTATCTTACAACGGATTCTAATAGTGATCATAGAACGGCGGTAAATGAATTTAACTCCATGCTAGTAGCGGAAGAAAGAAAATCGAAAAAACCACAAAATGGCATAAGTTTTACACCGCGGCAAACTCCAGCTAGGGATAAAGATAATATAAGCACGGTAAATTGTTAAATTAATTGACACATCCTTACTTTTCAATTAATATTTCTAAAACCACTTTTGTGATTATTCGCCAAGATTTACAATTATGGCAGTGATGGTCCATTAAATGCTGGTTATATCATGACACACGATAAAGATAAACTAATGGAGTTTTTGAATGAGGCTCAGTATAATTTGACTACTCACGTTATGTCGAATGGAATTAAAGTAATAATTGCTAGCGATATAGGTAAGCCGCCAATCGTTACCAAAACAACTGCAACTGAGGTTGCCAGCAAAAATTCATTACATGAAAAGCTACGATTACGAATTGGATCAAGAAAAGCAGCATACAGTCGAGCCACCACATTAGCACCAAGCACATTGAAGGATCAGATGATATTAGTACAACCATCGAAATGGATATCTCCGGTAAGTTTTCAAATTCATTATCTTTGGATATAATGTCTTTCAATACAAAGCCGTATATAGACAAAGTAGCTTGAGATTTTTTTCATAAAGGAATTTAAGAAAGTAAATACCGTGTGTCCCAGAATAACGGAATTTATTTCAAGTTTTTAATGTGATATTTTACAGTTATGTAGATAAATACGAAACTCAGCTGTATCACAACTTACAGTAACTCCATTTCTAGTTTAATTCTAAATCAAGTCTAGTTTTATAAAGTTGCATCAGACTATTTCGTTCTTGGATAGTGAAAAAAATTATTTCTATTTTATTTTAACTTTAACTTATATTTTAAAACAGAGTTCTGTGTTCCATGTTGTTTTTTAAACTTTAAGTTAATTTTATAAAAATCCAGTCTTTTGTTACAAAACTGAATTTTCGAAGTCCTGTACACTGATAAATATATTTATCTACATATTATATAATTAGCGCCATTATTTCATATTAGAAATATTTTCGCAATTATTTGCAATTAGAAAATTTAGCTTAATCTTTTGTTTGAACACAGATTAATTATACAATATTCTTTACATCTCGAAACACTCAATACATGTACATGTATAATTACGAGTGCATCTTGATGTTATCCAATAAATAAAAGGTTCTACTATTTATTCTTCCACCTACGAACGGCCGATGGACTTTTATAAACTGCTTTTATTTCATGCCAGAAATACACTCAGACGGTTCAACATTTCCTGCTGGAAGGCAAGCAATCAGCAATATTAATTTTCTATAATTTTGGAAGTTGGGAAGCCAAGGACCTTGGCTTTCCTAATGGCAGTGCACGCTGCTAACCATTCGGCTATTCACAAAAAGAATTATGATTAGAACTAAAATAGTGCAGGAACAGCATGTTAAAAAATATTGAGTCTTAATATGAGTATAAATCGTTGTTACTGCACATGGAAGTTACGTGATATATTTTGAAGAAGATAACATAGATTTGCTGATTCGTTAGATAAGAAAACATGATCCTCAAGCTGGCGTATTTATTTCATGTTTCTCTTAATAAAAAAAAAAAAAACTGTATGCAAAAATTATTTCAGAATCTGGTAGTGGAATTCATTTAGGTGTATAATTACTAGGTTTTAATATCGAAAAACTCAGAGAAATCATTAAATTCTTTTCGTATTAATTTTATGTGCGATTTTCCTACATTATAACGAAGTGCTGTTAGCGTGATATTACAATTTTCTACATTTTATTTACACTAGGTCAGGCATCCTACTTTCACAAGCATAAAAATAGATTCAAAGTCCGAATGAAGCCATATTATGCTGTGCTATGCTATAAAAGCATCAAAAACTATTAGGGACCATTTACGTTTCATCGAAACATGGCGAAGAATTAAAGGCAATAAGTAAAAGTGTAAGCAGGTTACATTTACTGTAATTAGATTACCTACTTACATTGCTAGCGTAGACTCCGCTTACGCGATTACAGCCGAGATAACAACATTGCGCCATTCGATTCTTCTTTTTGCTCTTTGGCGCCAATTGCAAATACCAACCGCAGCCAGGTCCTTCTCTACCTGGGCTTTCCAGTGGAGTGGAAGCCTTCCTCTTCATCTGCGTGTACTGCATCAAAAACTTTCAAAGCTGAGTATTCCTATCCATCCGGACCACATAACCTAGGCAGCGTGGCTTCCTGATTTGCTGAACTATGTCAATGTCGCCGTATATTCCATACATCTCATCATTCTATCGGCTGCGGTATTCGACGTTCCCGTAGAGGACCGTAAATCGTACGCAAAGCCTTTCTCTCGAAAACTCCTACCGCCAACTTATCAGATGTTGCCATCGTGCATGCCGCACCATAGATTGGTCAGAGCACACTTAAATCTAAATTATCGGGCATGCTTTCGTCCAACCATATTCTGCAAAGTAGCTGATACATGCACCTGATCAGTTCTGCATGGCCGTATTTGAATAGCTCTGCCGGTAGGCCGTTATTGTTGGTTATTAAGTTGGCTATTGCTATTTGAACTTCTTTATGATCAGGTAATGGAACGTCTTTTCCGTCGTGATCGATTGGGGTTTCGGGTTCATCATCCTTGGGTGTCTCATTTTCACTGCCATTCAGCAAGTTGGAGAAGTGTTCCCTCCATATATTCAATATGCTCTGGGCATCTGTGGCCCTGGTCGGTCAGCTTCTGAAGCTCTTCATACTCACGGATCTCGGCCTCTATCTTCTTTGTCTGCTTATGCGTCTTGCTTCTCTCTTCAATTCAGGGTATCTCTCTTTTTTCGCACGTATAGTAGTCGATCGCAGGCAGTCTGCTTTCTCTCGAATGCGACACGGCAGTCCACATCGTACCAGAAGTTTTGCGACCTTTACGAAATCCAATAGTTTCGTTTGTAGCTGAACGTAGATAGCTTGAAATGCCGTCCGATAGTTTCCGTATTTCGAGTTGCTGATGAGTGCTCTCACAGAGTAAGAGTGCCAGTCGAGTAGGCAACCGATCGGCAGTCTGTTGAGATTGCAGCTTTTTGACGTCGAGCTTTCCTTGTATTTGTTGACGTGCGTTCTGTGATGCACGGAAGCGGGTACATATCTTCGCTGCAAGAAGATAGTGGTCCGAGTCGATGTTGGGTCCTCGGAGTGTACGAATGTCAAGAATACTGGAAGCATGTCTTCCGTCTATCCCAACATGATTTTTCTGGTTTTGTGTTTTTCGATCAGGGGACAGCCAAGTAGCTTGGTGTTTTTTTTTGCTGCTATCTATTTATAACAACATTTGGGACCCGGCGAAGTTGATCAGCCGCAATTCATTAGGAGATATTTGGAATTTACCGACAGCTGTACCAAAGATCTCGATTTTGATATCGTGGTAGGTGCAGCGCTCGAAACTGTGCTTCAGGCGCTCAAAAAAGGCATCTTTGGCCAAATCGTTCTTATCTTGCGTCGTGGCGTGGGCGCAGTTATATTAAATAATATAAATACTCTGCAATTGAATGATATAATATGTATCGCTGTATACTTACACAGAAGGCTCACTTGGAAAAAGACGCATAGATGAAAAAATATTGCATATGAAATTAAAAGTAGCTAGTTTAAATTGACATAAAAACTCTGGACAGAAGTTAGTCCATGAATTACTTATTTACTTCACAGTTGTAACGAAGGAAGCTCCCGCCTTCTAAGTGAGAACTATTGTACTAATCGTGCTTACACGATTTTTATATATCTTTTTTATTTGTGCTTACACTTACTAATAGGCCTAAATACGTCTAGCAAATTCGGTATATAGATGAATTGTTTTTTCTTGATCTGTGTGTTGCTTTACAATAAGTAAATTATGTTATAACTTAGATTTACGTTGTTGCATTAAGTGCAATTTGTCCTAAATTTAAGGTATACAATTTTTTTCCCCTTTTTTATGATCTGAATGGCAAGTGAAGAGGGTGCAGTCTTTTTAGTTTTCGTACTTCCTCGGTATTGTCTAGCGGGTTGATAGCTTGTGTATTTGGGCGGTTGTTAAGTTTTTCGATATATCTTCTGCTGAACCTTTTTATTTCGTTTATGACCATGGCCGTTTTTAGATCTTTGAATTAATCGGAGTGGTTTTGATTGAAATCTTTGTATCACATCTATCATGGTCCTACTCGCTGTACACCAAATTTTAACATTGTTTTTGTAAAGAAGCATTTTATTTACAATGCTAAGTTTAGATTTGGGGCCAAGCGACCAACACATTTCTTGAGTTGCTTTTTTTACTCTAATATGTTCACCCCAAGCTAATCTTTTATCTAAGTGAAGTCCGAGATACTTAGCACTATTCGATATAAGAAAGTGTAAAGGAGACATGGACAGATTTTGAAGCATTTGCCGAAATATTCCATTTAGTAAGCCAGTTATATTAATTTATTTTATTTTTCCATTCAAATTCCTTCGTAGAATTTCTAGAGCCTCGATTGCAGACAAGGGTGAAGAAAGTATTGCTGTATGTCTATTATTGGCATATCTGCAGTATAAATCGTATAAAGTGTTGGACCCAATACACTACTTTGTGAAACTTCAGCATTTACTTCGTATATGTCTGAAACTGAGTCTTGAATTTTAACGTAGCAATGTCTTTATGTCTGTAACTTAGGTAAAATCTAAATAAGAAAGAGATAAAATGGGGTGGGAAGTATCTTTTTAATTTTATACAGCAGAGTGCCGGACTCTGCCAAATGATTGCTGTATATCGAGAAATATTGCGCAACATATCTTTTTTCCTCCAAACTGCTAAGTATTGTTTTAACTAAACGATGGCATTGCTCCGGGATGCTATGCATTTGCCTAAAACCGACTTGATGATCTTGAATAATCGATTGTCTTTCTAATTCTGGCAGTAAAATTTTTGGAAGTTGCTTAATTGTCAAAGCATCAATAATATCATAACCAGAAGAGTTTGTACTTTTTATTCTTAAAATTTCAGTCTGAACTTCTGAGATTTTAACGAAGAGCATGGCGTTATCCATTGGACATGGGAAGTCAATAAAATCTTCAACAATCCGCCGCTGTCTGTCATTGTTAATATCAAATGGTTGAGATATGGTTTAAAGATGATTGTTTGTCGTAATGCTGGTCTTTTTAAGTTTTATGGCCTTCCAAATGTGATATTCATCGTCTTTCTTGGGATCAAGATACTCACCGACCGTCCAACTTTTGTTTCATTTCAGCTAGTTTTTGCTTAAGTTCCTGATTGATTTGTTAAGTGCTGTTTAGTCATGTGAATGACGTAAAAAAATTGGATTCCAATTTTCTTTACTTTGCAATGGCATTACCTTAGACATTATTATCGTCTGATAATTTTTTACCCTACTGATTTTTTAAAAGTGTGACGTGCCGAAAAAAGGGTTGAGAATCACAGACATGGTATGATATATTCTGTTCACCATATTTTTAGTATGTTTGTAGCCTTCGACCTGATAGAAAGAGTAGCTAGCAATAAAATATGTGTAAATTTTTGATCGCATATACTGTAATTTATTAATGTATCTTTTCCTTTCAGACAAAGTTTTCCTTACCATATAATTTAAATCAGTTCGTAACAAAAACTTGTTTTACTACTTATACTTACCGTACGACATATCTGCAGAACGGCTCGCCAACTGTAGAAAGCCGCGAGCAAGTCATATCTAATATAGCAACAGAGAAACGGAATTATCTTCGGATGGCACCTCTTATTTCATTGGGAGTAATTTTGAGTCAAGTAAGTAAACTGGAAATGATTTTTTCAATCATTCAATAATGTATTTGACATAAATACGAATAGGTCTACAAAGTTTTATGGCTCGGTTATGCAGACTTAACTCAGACATGAATTGTAGAATGGGCAATATAGAGCTGTAAAAGGTGTGATCAGAAAATAGCCGTTATTTTCATTTTTTTCAAAAAGAATTATTATTATTCATCAATAACTATCTTCTCCCCTTCAAAGTAGTCCCCCTGAGATCTAATACACTTATGCCAGCGTTTTTTCCGATCCTCGAAACACTTCTGAAACGCATTTTATGATATCGCCAATAGCCCCTGTTTTGATTTTACTTTTATCTCAATCGTAGCAAAACGCTTTCCTTTCAGTTTTTGAAAGAGGAAAAAGTCAGCGGGGGGGGAATACGGTGGTTGGGGCATTATAACGGTTTGGTTTTTGACCAAAAACTCACGCACATGCATCGATGTGTGAGCTGGTGCGTTATCATGGTGAAGAATGCATGATTTTTGTTTCCACAATTCTGTGTGTTTCTGACGAATTCCTAACATCTAGGTAGGTATTCTTTATTGACCGTCTGACCTTGTGGCAAGAATTCGGCGATTATCCAAAATCATTTTCTTCACTGCTTCATTGCTTTCATCGGTTGTTGACGTGCTCGGGCGACCCGGACGATTATTGTCATTCACATCTTCTCGGTCTTACTTAAATCGGCTATACTACACTTGAACTTGTGTTTTGCTCATAGTAGACCAGCCAAACGCCACACTCAACATTTCAAATGTTCTTGACCATTTAATTTCAGTTTTTAAACAAAACTTAATACAGTTTCTTTGATCCATTTTTTCGATACGACTAACCTTTTCATTAGTCAAAAACAAACTGTGCACCGCCATAACAGAAAAAAAGCGAGAGTCGAACATACGTAGATCACGTAAATTGAAAATATTGGATATCTTCTAATCATACCTCGTACATACCGATAGAGTCCGGTTTTTACTGCAATCAATTTATCATGTACAATATATATATTTCGTTTAACTGCATATTTGCTTATACAATATTATATATAATACAGTTTCCTAAATCAATTGTGTACGAAAATATCACGGTTAGTTGCGATCTCGCTCGCAACCGTGGGAGAAAAGAGAAATTTAATTGAATAAAGCATTGTTTATTAATCTTTCTCTCTCTTTCTCTTTCTTCATCAAAACAACATGTTAGTTGTCTGAGTTTGAAGCAAATACTGATTATAAAAAGGTATGAATTCCCTGTAAGAATGAAACCTTGCTATGCTGTCGAGTTTTCTGCTTTGGATTAAATACCAAATCTATTTTCTTCGAGGCTTGGGTCCGTTCTGATTACGATTTCCAATGAAGAGAACTACCTAAAAATGAGCATATTGTTGCGGAATATGCAAAAAAAAATTTGCTTAAGTGCATCATTTTTGTGTATGTAGGCTTTTCTTTCACTTCTATTTTCAAAATTCAATACTTTCTCCAGTTAAACTACTCTAGCTCATTTTTTGAAAACTTTATTTAATCCCATTTTCGATAAAATTTGAATTACTTCAAAAAATAACTAGAACAAAATTTGACTCTCTCAACAAATATCACAAAAAACTACAGTTCACTCACAAATATTCACAAGAACAAAAACACCAATTGACACACCAGAACAAAACAACGTTTTGTACGAAATCAAATGCAAAGAGAAACGAGAACTGTGATAAATTATACATCGGCACAACAAATCGGTCTTTGAGAGTGCGCTTAGCAGAACATGAAGCCGGAGTAAGAAAACAAAAAAATAGTACAGTGCTTTCACAACATACAATAAGCAGTGGTCACTCAGCTGGCTTTGATAACGTAACGTTTTTGGACAGGGAAAAAAGAGAGAATATGAGATACACATTACAGACCCTAAGAATTTTGGAAAAGAGGAACAAGACATGTTTAGTAAAGTAATGTTTAGTAAAGTAATTAGTTAGTATCAATTTAGCTACCAAACATTATGGTAATGATGCATATGCTAATAACACTGCATATTAAATTTTTGCAAGCCTTTCGATATCAGTAAGTTTTCTTTTTTAAATATTCAGTATGTATCTCTGTATGTATACACTAATATTTGTTCATTATTCATAAATAAACAGGAGCCTCTGAAGATGCTAAAATGTTTAGCGAAACATTGGGCAAAAAGTGGATAAATTAGTTTTATTTGCACTAATCAAACCAGATCAGCTAAGCTTAATAGACTAATTAATAACTTTGCAAGTATTGTTTAATGATCGCAGCAGAAGTGAAGCTTGAACTTTTACAACATGAAGTTTAAGCTATAATTAAGAAATAAGAATAAGATCAAAAAAGGTAGACACAAAAAGTTTTAGTGTTGTACAATGCTTTGAGGTAGTAACAGTTGAGTATGTATGATCAAGCCCCTGTAGAAACGAAACGAATTTAGTGCTTCTGCGAACATCCTCTTAACGTTGGAATTACATTAGCTGTGCGTATGATCAAAATGCGAGACACTCCATCAGCGCCGTGAATTATATTTTCTAGTCGCCATTTTAGGGATGGAAGGCTGCCATCTTTCAAGATAACCATTGTTGCAACCTGAAAAATAGCAGTTAATTTTCGCTATTTATCTCGTTCTTCAGAGATAAGGGCTGCTCCACTTTTTCTAACATACTTGTTGGCACCTGTTCAAACGAATAATATTAAGACCGCTCAGGTCTGGTTCAATTAAAGTGGCAAATATGGACCCAATAAGAAAATGAACTTGTGTGAGTACGTCGAAATCATTCGGATTCTCTGAAATTCGACAAAGCGGATTAAAATAAATTATTGCTTCGGTTTAGAACACTGGAGGGCGATGCTCTTAAAAAGATAGAATTGAGATACATATAACGATTGTTGATTTTAGTGTTTAAGGAATCTTTTATATGCAGATATTTGCTTTACAATAAATCAATTAAATCAATAAATTATTACGTTAGTAACCGTATTGGCCGAGCCGAGTGGTTAGCATCGCGTACTGATATTCGGAATGCTCAGGTTCATATCCCGGTGCCACCAACTTCCAAAAGTTATGGAAAATTAATTTAAATAAAAAAATAAGTTAAATTTCCTAATTGTGGTCGCCCCTCGGCAGAAACCTCAACCCCTCCAGCTTAGTACGAACTGTAGGTCCCTCCATTTGTTCGAAAAACATCAAGACGCAAAACCACAAATTGGAGGGGGAGCCTCGGCCAAAAATCGCTACAGTGGTTACAAAACCCCAATTATTTGTAGGAAAATGTTTGCCTTTGTTGTTACAGGCAAAATAAGACCAAGCGGGTAGTAAATTTTGCAATGTACGAAAGTATCGCAAGATTTGTAGAGCACTCGCTGACTTCAACGTCAGGGTGGGAAAAAGGTTTTTTCGGCTTAAAAGCAGGAAAATTCAGCCTAGATGACGAAACATCCCCAAATATATTGAGGCTGATTAACTTGTCTGTAGTACTTGCGATCGACACGAACGCGTGCGGGATAAATACCAAGAGCTAAAGAGAGAGGCAAGACACATTTGCAGAAAAAAAAATAACCGAAATACGCGAGTATGAAAAGCATGGGAAGCTGACTAACAAGGGTATTGCTCGAAAAATCTACAATAAGATGCAGCTACTTTCGGAGGGTGTCAAGATCGGAGCAAACTTTTGTAGAACTCAGAGGGGTGATCTAGCGACGGATGCCTAAAGTATACTGAATTTATGAAGGGAACACTTATCCAGCCTGCGTTGACGACGGAAAAGACGTTCCACAACCCGACTATGTCGAGGTTCGAATAGCGGTTGTTCGCTTAAAGAACAACAAAGCGGTCGGAGCTGACGACCTACCGACATAGCTATTCAAATATGGCGGTGAAATGCTGACAAGGCGCATGTATCAGCTTCTTTGCCAAATATAGTCGGATGAAAGCATGCTCGTCGATTGGGACATAAGTGCGCTCTGCCCGATCCCCAAAAAAAAGTGATCCCACAGTCTGCGGCAATTACAGTAGAAAGAGAAACGAAGAGAGTGAGTCAGGTAGTGAACAAGGACAAAACGGAATATCTCTTGTCATCAAGCAAATAGTCTGCGTATTTACGGCTTTGCTAACACGACGGTATTGACAGTCATACGAGGTCGTATAAGATTTCGCCTATCACCAACATCAACACAAATAAGAATGTCAGCCATGAAATCCAATGTAGGATAACTCTGGCGAACAGGTGCACTTTTAGATTGAGCACGTAATTGAGAAGTAAAGTCCTCTCTCGGCGAACAAAAACCTAACTAAACAAGTCGCTCATCATACCGTCCTTCTATACGGCGCAGAAGCGTGTGTAACGACATCATCCGATTATCAAATAGTCTTCGTGATAAAATTAATAACAGTAATAAGCCCAAGGATTACCTTCCTCCCGCTCGACACGAGGGGCGCCATCCGCGTGATATACAGACTTTACCGAGTCATCAAAAGCAAGTTTTGTTATAACTCATCAGCTGAAATATACGATTGATTATTGTATTAACTAAATTTAGAGAGTTACTTATTAAGAGGTAAGTATAAAATTTTTATTTACGAAAGGTGAGTTCGTCAAATCAAATGTGCTGGAATAACAATTGAATTCTTGACATATACGGCGGAAATGTTCCAATAGTTCATAATATGTTTTACTTGATCTTAAAAATAAAGGTCTAAGCTGTCGAGACTTAGACGTTTTACTAAAAAAAACCTTCCCTATTTCTATACGGCTAGAAAGTGTATATTGGCTTTAAAGTTTTAAGCGACTAGTATACGGTTACCGCGGCAGTCTAGTTGTTAGCATTGCGTACCGACATTCCGAAGGCTCAGGTTCAAATCGTGGTGTCGTAATTACATCAAAAGAAAGTTACAGAAAAGATAATTAAATTAAAAAATTATGTTAAATTTTCTAAATGCGGTCGCCCCTCCGAGTGTATTTCTAACATGAAATA